AGTAATGGAAATGTTCTATAACTGGATCTAGGTGATGGTTACACAGATAGATACAAATATAAAAATTCGTCAAGCTGTACACTGAAGATCTTTGCATTTTATTGTAAATTATGCCTCAATGTTTAAAAATAAATTTGGTTTCTAAGTTAGTGTTGTATCTCGGAAAACAATCATATGAAACCCATATGCCAGAGGCAGCCATTTGGGAGTTTGCGTTGGTTTAAGCCTTAGTTAAGAGATGTTATATTTGCAAGTATAGAAATCCCGGAGCAGCGCCAGAAAGAAAAATACATCTCTTTCATTCAGGACCATTGTTACTTCTTTGTGTCCTAAAGGCAACATCTGTCTTCAACTCTACTAATAAAATAGCTTAACTTTTTATATTCAGATTCTTACAGGGGGTTTTCAATTTGTATTCTCATCCTCTTCCTTTAGTTACTGTGACCCATACCCCATCTTGAATTTTTCTGTTAAGGTTATATAGCAGACTATGCTTATTGAGAATGTCTGTGTGCAAGCCCCAGTGCAATGCATACAGAGGGATAAATACAGCTCTTGCCTTCAAAATTGTTGAGTCAGAATTCAATGACAAGAATCATACTACTACTAATAATAATGGGAAACATTCTTTTGAATACTAACCTAGACATGGTCCAAACACTTTGTATGAATTACTTCATTTAATCATTACAAGAACCCTAAGAGGCAGTGCAAGATGTTAGCGTAAGAGTGACATCTTTTGTATGAAAGAGAAAAATGAATAACTTCTCTGTTATCTCAAGCAATTCAATTCTGGCCTGACTTGCAAACTCAACTTTAGCATAATAAAGGTAAGTTACTGAACTCATTCACTTTAGAAGAAGTTTAGATATAACCTGTTGTAACTGAACATGCCCTTTGGGGATTTCTCCCTCACCTCATCTACACACCACATACAATGTTCTCCTTGAAAGAAATATGAGTGGGTTTTTTTCTTTTTTGTAAATTGGACTTTTATAAATTGGTGCCCTTGATAACTGCCCATCTTTCTCACCACCACATTCAGTTTTGAAATAGATGCTTTTCTTAATCCCTATTTTACTGGTGAGGAACCTGAGGCTTAGGTAATTTGATTAAGGTGCTATATTAGTTTTACAGTGCTGTGTAACAGATTACCACTAACCTGGTAATTTAAAGCTACACAGATTTATTACCTCACAACAGTTTCTGTGGGTCATGAGTATGGGCACAACTTAGTTGGGTCCTCTGCTTAGGTTCTTAACAATGCTGCAATTAAAGTTCAGCTGGGCTGCATTCTTATCTGGCACTCAAGGTCCTCTTCCAAATTCACATGGTCGTTGGCAGAAGTTAATTTCTTACATCTGTATGATGGATGTCCCATTTACTTACTAGCTGTTGACCAGAGACTGCTTTCTGCTCCAGGTGTTTTTGCCACTTGATTGGCCCTCCCACATCACAATTTATTTCTTAATGGCCAGCAGAAGGATCTCCAACCTGGGATGAGGGAGCAGGATAAGACCTTCTTTTAAAGGGCTTACCTGATTAGATCAAGCACACCCAGGAGAGTCTCCGGTTTTATTAACTCAAAGTCAACTGATTAGGAACCTTAATTACATATGAAGTCTGTTTTGCCATAAAATGTAATATAATCACAGGATTTATATCCTGTCATATTCACAGGTCCTCTGTACACGCAAGGAGAGAAGATAATAAAGATTGCATATGCTAGGGGGTGAGAATAATGGGCAGCATCTTAGAATTCTGCCTATTGTACATGCATAGTAACCCAGCAGGTAATTGATAGAGCACTGCTCTCTGAGCAAAGCGTGCATTAAAATAATTAAGCTGTACTACCTCTCAAAAACATGAAACATTACCTGAAAAAATTTTTTAATTATTCCAGATATTTGATTTTGTGGATAATTTCACAATTAGTACCATTAAAGTAAGTGTAGAATATGTCAGCACCTAAAAATGGACATATGTAAATAATGTTTTGAAACACAAATGAGACTATAAAATATGGATTTGAATATATAACATAAACTATTTTAATTTCTGGACCTTTTAAAAACTTAGCTGTTATTTGAAATACATATATATCTCTAGTAGTTTCTGACCTTCTAGTAAAAGATAGTTTACCATACTAAGTAGCAGGTGATAAATGTATGTACTGGCAGTAAGTACTGTAGAAGTTCAGAGTAGGAGAGATTAATGTGGACTAGAGAGTCCCTTTAGATGTAAAATAAATTAATTTATTTATTAAATTAATAATTTATTTTAATTATTAAGTAGCTGATTAGAAATTTTGCCCAGCACTGGTCCACATTCTATTGCTTGTCATCTGTTTGTTGTACGGGATTGCATGTGTTCTTTGAAGAAGCGCAAGTCTTCTCAGGTGTGACGCATTCTCATTTAAATAGAAATCCGTTAGCATTACTACAGTCATTCAGTTACAATCTTAATCACTGTAATAACCTTCATTCTTTTATCATAGAATAAGAAACATGATGTCAGCTGTGTATCTCTGTTAGTTGATACTTTTTACCCATCAGTCCATCATTTGCAACTATTGCGAAATAAATTGGTGGGATTTTTCTCCCCTTATACTAGGGATCTCATTTATTCTCATTCATTTGTTTTGTGTCTGTGGAGTAGCTAGCCATTTCAGTTGTTTTAAATTACTTTGTATTTGACAATAGGCATGGTAGCCTGAAAATACACACCCCCCAAATATGACCATGTCTTAATTCCCAAATGTCACATTATGTGTTACAAGGTACTTTGTAATGCAAGAGACTTTGCAGATGTGATTAAGGCTCTTGAGAGGGGGAGATTAACTGTATTACCCAGGTAGGCCCAATCAAATCTAAGTGGTCCTTCTAAGAAGGAGTCAGAGGAGAAGGCAATGTGTGATGATGATGGAAGCAGGAGTTGGAGTGATACACCATGAAGATGGAGGAAGGGCTATAAAAAGTGAGAAATACAGGTGGCCACTAGAAGCTATAAAAGGCAAGGAAGCTGATTCTGTCTTCTGAGCCAAAGGAATTAGCCTTCCCAACATCTTGACTTCAGCCCAGTGAAACAGATTTTTTAATTTCTGACCTCTAGAATTGTAAGATAATACATTTGCGTTATTGTAAGCCACAAAGTTTGTGCTAAGTTGTTATAGCCACAGTAGGAAACTAATACAGAAGTTGTAATATATTTGTTTACTGAAGAAGTCGTATTTCTGTTGCAGCATTGAGCTAATAAGATTCCCTTAGCATTCAAATAATTGTGCATGAAAAGTGAGACTGTTTCAAAGGATATGGATAGAAGATTAAGAATTTTTTCTTCTTTGGTTAATATAAGTGTTCGGTACACAGAAGATTTTTTGGATTTGTTTGAATAGAAATAGAAAATGGCAGGAAAGTAAAGTGTTAACGTAAATGGACTTTGAATGAAAGCCTAAGGGAAGATGAAGTGTTAGTGGAAGCTGTCAGATATTTCAATTGTTTAGGTCTGCTTAGTTTCTTTCTCTTATCTTCTCTTTAGCTTTCACTAAAGATTGAATCTATGTATCTAGAGTAAATCGGCCTTGGAAAACAAGGCCTCTCCCTCCACAAGTGGATTTGTTCCTTTCAGATTTGTGTTAAAGGTTATACTCTGACTGCTCAAAAGAAATAACAGCTGGTAGGAATAACACGTTTTCAAACAACCCATCTTGCTAGTTAAGTAATTGGACTTGGAGGCCCTTTTTTGCTGTGCTCCAGATCTAAATTGAGGGGAAGTTTTTATGTTATAAAGGGCTACCCTTGAAAGAGTCTAATCATTATCTTTCATTATTATTTTGTTAATTACAAGTGTCCACCTTCATGGGCAAGTTGCTCATCTGTAACATACACAACATTTACATTAAACTATAATATTTCTCTTTGGACAACCTGGAATCTAGATATACCATGTCTCTGAAATACACTGTGAAGAAAAGCTGCTTAGTCATACTAAGTAACGATGTTCAGAGATGAGCTAAGTATAACAACTCAACCTTCCCAGGCTAAGCTCAACAGTAAGGGAGATGGAGATGTTCCATGATACAGATCAACAGTTTTCAAAGTGTGGTCCCAGATCAGCAACATGAGCAAATTCTCTGAGTCTGCTCCAGACAGAAAGACTTGGAAACTCTGGGGATTAAGCTATAGTTTCATGTTTAACAAACACTCTCCAGGTTATTCTGCTACACATTAAAGTTTGAGAATCACTGATATAGATTGTTTTGTTCTCATCGCTAGAACAGACTTACAGCTAAAATGTTGGAAAATCTGACTCTATTGACATGTCAGAGATAATTTGCAACTGCTTCCTTTCTGCCCAAATTCTGTCAGACTAATCACTTGAATAGATTAATTGAAAAATCAATTATGTTTGTAGATGAAATTAAATATTTTTTGTATTTAACTGCTTTTGATTAGAATCCTATTTTGTTGAAAGTGGTTGGTTTTATCTGTGTTCTGTAAAGATACTTATAAAACCTCATCAAAGTTCTACCAGTAAGTCACATTCTATTCAGTATAAGGTGAAATGTTTTACATCAAATCTCATGCTGTGTAATGGCCAAAGAATATTTAAGGTGACTGAATGGATTTCTTGGCTCAGTATTCAAAAGTAAACATTTTAAGATGTTAATGTTTAAGGCTTTTACCTCTTCTCAAAATTGATTTTATGTAACTCTCATTATTTGCAACTCCTGAAATCACCAAAGATCTTGCTTAAGCAACATGTAGCAGCAACTTATTTTTCTTATCTTTATATGGATTTACTGAAGTGTAGATTATTTGATAATGAATGTAGCTTTGGGGCACAAGTCTGTTTAACTGTGTGAATGCTATAATTTAATATTTAAGACAAAACAACAGCTTTGGCTTGGTAAACATATATCACTGATTTCTGAAAAACTGAATGAAAGAACTTGTTTTATTGTGTTCTTATTTGACAGGTGATCTTGTGGTTCTTTCTAGGTATCCAGTAGAAAAAGCACTCTCCAGTGTTCATCTGTGGAACTGGATGGTTCCTACTTGAGTGTAGCCAGACCGCAGACCTACTATCAAACCAAGCAAAGACCTAAGTCTGCAATCCAGGATTCAGCTTCAGAATCCCTTATAACATTTAGGAATAATTCTTTGAAACCAGTAACCCTTCATCATCCCAAAGATGATCTAGGTAAGATACCATCAGAGACCACAACATGTAATTATGAATCTCCAGGGAGAAAACCAGTAGATGCAGTCCCAACAGAGAAAATGCCACAAGAAGAATTGCACATGAAGGAATGTCTACACCTTAAGCCTACTCCTACTCAATGCTGTGGTCATAGACTTGCTGCAGATCATGTTCATGAGAGCCATTCTACAAACACAGCCCCTCAACATCCTAAGACACATCCAGAATCATGCAGTTATTGTGGGCTTTCTTGGGCGTCTCTGTTGCATGGTGGAGGGGCGCTGCAACCAAATGAAACTTTGAAAAAGCAGATCTCAGAAGATAGAAAGCAGCAACTGATGCTTCAGAAAATGGAGCTGGAAATTGAAAAGGAACGCCTTCAGCATCTGCTGGCCCAGCAGGAGACAAAGCTTCTTCTAAAACAGCAACAGCTTCACCAGTCTCGACTGGATTACAATTGGTGAGTACTGCCTGTTCTTTTTATTTATTTATTTATTTATTTTGAGATGAAGTCTTGCCCTATTGCCCAGGCTGGAGTGCAGTGGCACAATCTCAGCTCACTGCAGCCTCCGCCTCCCGAGTTCAAGCAGTTCTCTGCCTCAGCTTCCTGAGTAGCTGGGATTACAGGCGCCCGCCACCACACCTGGCTAAGTTTTGTATTTTCAGTAGAGACGGGGTTTCACCGTCTTGGCCAGGCTGTTCTTGAACTCCTGATCTTGTGATCTACCCTACCTGCCTAGAACTTCCAAAGTGCTGGGATTACAGGCATGAGCTACCGTGCCCGGCCGAGTCCTGCCTCTTCTTTTAGCAATGTCTGTAGTTTGGAGAACACAGTGTAAAATTGCTGTATTACTATAGCAGATGTGTAGAACCAGAGGTTCTTCTGGATCTTGGCTTGCTCAAGATGCATATCAGTTATGTCTACTAAGTAAATTCCCCTTTATTCTTTGAAAGACTTCAAAGATTACCTTGTCTTCCAAACTGATAGCTTAGAATATCTATTTCTGAGCAGTCTGGTGTAATTTTTGCTGGGTTCCAAAAGACATTTTAAAATGATCTTACCATTATGCAGAATCCTTCGCTGTTTGATATCATTGTGGACAATATTAGGCATTAAGTAAAAGCTTGAGATTTCGGGGTGTGGAATTAGACTGTAAAGCAGTGAGATTAGCTGTCATCATTCCAAATTTATGTCTACCTGCCATAATATAAAATACAACAAGTGATGGGAGTCTTCTAAATTTAACCCTTTCTGGCCATGAAGCATGACCTGTTGAATGACAAATTCTCATAAACCTATCCACATGTGGGCTGTTCTTCCCTTAACAATTCTTCCTAAGAACAGTGCTTGAGAAGCTAAATTGCTATTTTGTTATTATATAATGTTTCTTTTCTCCACATCCTTGATATTTGGTATTGTCATTAATTTTTATTTTACCTCTTCTAATATGTGTATAGTGACATTTCATTGCAGTCTTAATTTGCATTTCACTAATGGCTAATGACGTTGAACATCTTTTTGTGTGTGTGCTTGTTTGCCCTCCTATCTTCTTCAGTAAATTCTCTCTTCAGTTTTGCCCATATTCTAATAGGATCATTTGGGTGTTTTGCTGTTTGGAGAGTTCTGCATATATCTAGATATAAGTCCTTTGTCAGATATGTGAGTAGCAAATATTTTCTCCCAGTCTGTACCTTGTCTTTTCTTGTTTATCTTTAATTTTTTTTTCTTTTGGTAGAGACAGGTTCTCACTGTTGCCCAGAGTGGTGTTGAACTTAAACAATTCTCCTGCCTCAGCCTTCTAAAGAGCTGGAATTACAGGTTTGAGCCACTGCTCCTGACTCTGCCTTTTCAATTGCTTAATAGGATCTTTCATAGAGCAAAAATTTTTAATTTTAATAAAGTCCAATTTATCTACTTTTTCTGTTATGGATTATATAAAGTTTTATCATAAATCGATGTTGGATTTTGTCAGATACCTTTTATGAATTTTGTCAGGTATCTTTTATGATCATGTGCTTTTCTTATTTGCCCTGTTAATATGGTGCATTAAATAGATTTTTAAATGTTAAACCAGCCTTGCATCCCTGAAATAAACCCCACTTGGTCATAATGTATGATTTTAAAAATGTTACTGAATTCCATTTACTAATATTTGTTGAGAATATTTGCATCAGTTTTGTTTTGTGTTTTTTTTTGAGACAGAGTCTTGCTCTGTCACCCAGGCTGGAGTGCAGTGGCGTGATCTTAGCCCACTGTAACCTCTACCTGCTGGGTTCAAGGGATTCTCATGCCTCAGCCTCCTGAGTAGCTGGGATTACAGGCGTGAGCCATTGTGTCTGGCCTATTTGCATTAGTTTTGATGAGGGATATTGTTCTGTTGTTTTCCTTTTTTTTTTTCCTCCCCCTTTGTCCTTGTCTTGTTTCGGTATCAAGGTAATGCAGGCCTCATAAAATGAGTTGGGACATGTTTACTCTGCTTCTGCTTTCTGGAAGAGATTGTGTAGAATTGGTGTTAATTCTTCCTTAAATGTTTAGTAGAATTCTCCAGTGAAACCATCTGGACCTGGAGATTTATTTTTTGAGACTGTAAATTCCAAGTTTAATTTCCTTTATACTTACAAGGCTATTCAAATTATCTATTGGATAATCTACCTTGCCACAGGTTTGTTCATTTTAATTATCTTTCAAATAACTGGCTTTTTGTTTCATTTAGTTTTTGTTATTTTTCTGTTTTCAATTTCATTGGTTTCTGCTCTTTATTATTTTCTTCCTTCTGCTTGCTTTAAATTTACTTTGCTCTTCTTTTTTCCTAATTTGTTAAGATGAAAGCATATTGGTTTGAGACTTTTTCACTTTTCTACTGGAAGCATTTAGCGCTCTAAATTCCCTTCTCGGCACTGATTCAGCTGTGTCCCACAAATTTTGATATGTTGCATTTTCATGTTTATCCAATTCAGTGTTTTTTTGGGGTATCTTTTGAAACTTCCTATTTGACCCATGGGTTATTTAGAAGTGCTATATTTAGTTTCCAAGTTCTTAAAGATTTTCCTGTTTTATTTCTGTTACTGATTTTTAGTTTGATACCACTGTGCTCACATAACACACTGTATAATTTTCATTCTTTCAGACTCATTGAAGTTTAAGGACCCTAGGGCATGTTCTGTCTCGATATATGTTCCACGATGTTTGAAAAGAATATATATTCTGCTGTTGGGTGGAGTGTTCTGTAAATTAGATCCTATTATTTGACAGTATTGTTGAATTCTTCTATATTCTTGCTGATTTTCTACCTACTTCTATCACTTATTGACAGAGGGGTTTTGAAATCTCCAGGTACAATTATGATATATCTATTATCTATTTTTCCTATTAGTTCTATTAGTATTTGTTTTATATATTTATACCTCTGTTCTTTGCTGCTTATGCATTTAAATTTGCCATGTCTTCTTGGCAGGTGAACCATCTTGTCACTATGTAATGTCTTTCTCGGTCCCTATTTTTTTTTTTTTCTTTTTTTTTTGTGACGGAGTCTCACTCTGTCACCGAGGCTGGAGTGCAGTGGCACTGTGTTGGCTCACTGCAACCTCCGTCTCCTGGGTTCAAGCAATTCTCCTGCCTCAGCCTCCCGAATAGCTGGGATTACAGGCGCCCACTACCGTGTCTGGCTAGTTTATATGTATGTATATATATTTTTTAGTAGAAATGGGGTTTCACTGTGTTGGCCAGGCTCGTCTCTAACTGCTAACCTCAGGTGATCCACCTACCTCATAATCTTTTTTATCTAAAGTCTCCTTTACCCGATATTAATATAGCCATTCTTACTTTCATTTTATTAAGGTTTTCAAGGTATGTGTTCTTCCATCCTTTTACTTTCACCATATATATGTTGTGATTTTGAATTCAGTTTCTTAGACTCAGCATTTATTTAAGTCAGCCAGTTTCTTTTAATTGGTATGTCATGTTCAGAAATTTACTTTTTGTTTTTGATTTTTTTTTTTTTTTTTTTGGTTTGACAGGCTCTCACTCTCTTGCCCATGCTGGAGTGCAGTGGCATGATCACGGCTCACTGCTGCAGCCTTGACCTCCTGGGCTCAGGTGATCCTCCTGCCTCAGTTTCCTGAGTAGCTGGAACTACAGGCGTGTGCTGCCATGCCCAGCTAATTTTTGTGTTTTTTGTAGAGATGGGGTTTCGCCATTTTGCTCAAGCTGATCTTGAGCTGCTAGGCTCAAGCAGTCTGCCTACTTCAGCCTTCCAAAGTGCTGGGATTACAGGCATGAGGCACCGTACCCGGCCCAGACACTTACTTTTAATGTAAATTGTATATGATTTCCCATATAGTTGGCCCTCCATATCCCTAGAGTCAGCCAACTGTGGATTAAAAATATTTGGGGGCAATAAATAATGCAACAATAAAACTATTATAAATAAAAAATATAGTATAGCAAATATTTACATAGCATTGACATTATAGTAGGTATTACCAGTATTATAAGTAATGTAGAGATTATTTAAATTATACCAGACGATGTGCAAAGATTATATATACATACACATCACTTGAGCAAATCCGTGAGATTTTGGTATGGGAGAAGGTCTGGGACTAATCCCCTGAGGATACCAAGAAACCACTGTAGTGTTTTTGAGTATATTTCTTTGAATAGATTTGTTTTATTGGTTGCTCTAAATATTCTGTTATACACACATAACTTATCAAAGTCTGTTGGTGTCATATTTTATCAGTTTAAATTAAATGTAGAAATTTGATCTCCCTTTAAGTTCCCTTACCCTCCCCCATTTATAATTGTCTTAAAGAGTTTCTCATTGAGAACAGAACAAGAGAAATTTTACAATCTGAACAACAGAAATAGACTAAACTCAAAAAAACCTAAACAGAATCTCTCATTAAGAACTACATCATAAAATATTATAATTTTTGCTTAAATCATCAAATTTAAAATGAGTTACAGAGTAATTTAGAAAAGTGAAGAGAAAAAAATCTATTATATTTCTCTGTATTTCTATTTTTTTCTATTGTTCTTCCTCCCTGATGTTCCAGGATTTCCTCTTTTATCTTTTGTTTTGTTGTTTTGTTTTTAGAGCTCTGTTTAACTGTTCTTTAGGGTAAGCCTGCAGTAGTTTTGCTTCATATGAAAACGTTCTCATTTTTACATCATTTCTAAAGGATATTACCATTGCTGAATATAGGATTCTGAGTTGACAGGGTTGCTTTTTTTCTTTTCTATCAGCACTTGAAAAATGTGGCATTTTCTTCTGCCCCCTGATGTTTTCCACAGTCATTTGCATTATTTTTCTCTATACATAAAATATAATTAATTCTCTTGCTTTTTAAAGATTTTTTTTGTCTTTAGTTTTAAGAAATTTCACTGTGATATGTCTTCACATGGATTTTTTTATCCTATACAAACTTTGATCAGCTTCTTGATTTATAGTTTTGTGT